GGACCACTCCATGGGTGGAGCCCCTGCACTGTATAAAATGGAGAAAGTGGGCTGGGTGGCAGCAGCGAGCATTCATTACTCTCTGCTGCTCCAAGCCTCTACTGCCTCAGCTTCCCCACCAAAATGACTACACCCTTCAACTGGAGCCAGAATTGACCCTTTCTCCCTTAAATCGCTTTTGTCAGAGTGTTTTATAATGGCAACAGCAACAGAAGCTAACACACACTATTAATTTTACTTAGGAGAGGAGTCACTCATTATATAAGTGTAACAAAAATACAAGGGGGCATGTAACAAATCCAATTAGATAAAATTAATAATGCTTAACATTTTACAGAGTTTATCAGATATAGACTGGTTTTCCATGTGAATTAACCCATGCAAGTGCTCATCACAAACCCACCATGTAAGTACATCACTCCCATATTCACAGCTAAGGTAACTAAGACACAAACTGATTAATAACTTATTCAAATACATAGATTTTAATTTAGACAGTCTGGATCCAGGGAAATGCTGCCAACCCACCTGAAATCAATTGTGGGAATCCAGAAAGAAGGTAATTTACATAAAGGAAACAATATATGAACTACACAAAAGAAGGAGGGGTTCAAGGTAGAAAAACAAATTGAAACAATAAGACACAGATCAGATGGAAAGTTGGTGCTTAAGAACATATTATAGATCAGAGTTTTAATCAGTCCAAGGAAAACCTAGGTCCCTTGAATCTGAATCTCTCCACATATTCTTTACAATATTCCTCAGGCAAAAAGGAGAAGCAGATAAAACAATGTAAAAAGCAATGATGTTGGGGCTGGGAACATGGCTCAGTGTATACTGAGTTCACATACCCAGAACCCATGTAAAATGCCAGGATCAGTAGCTTGCCTCTGCAACTCCAATGACTGGGGGGGCGGGGGCGGGGGTACTGAGGACTGGGTGGAAACAGTGAGCTCCAGTTTCAGTGAGAGACCCTGTCTCAAAAAAGAAGGTGGAGAGTAACAGTCAAAGACATTCACAATAACCTCAGGTCTGTACACATGCACACACAAGGGAACACACGCCCATGCCTGCACAGATGCTTATACCACAAACACACAGCCGCAGCTGTCATTCTAACTGGAAAGCAGAGAGAACGCAAGTTTAAACACAACAGTATGTACCAAACTCCAGCCAGGTTCTCTCAACTTCCTACAAGTGGTTTGTGCCGAGAGCCGTGAGTTTGGGGCGGAGGGGAGGGGCGGAAGTGGCAAGGAGCTAGAGTCCTTCACAGAAAAAGAAATGCCACTTTCAGTGTGAAAACATAGGAAGAGACCAGTGTGTCACCAGAGCCCTGGCTACAGAGGACGGATGTGACGCGCGAAAGTGCTGGGGAGCAGTTGAGGAAGTCACTGCTCCTGGAAAGAAAAGGCGAGGAGGGAAGAAGCTGCACATGTGGCCTTGGAGTTTAAGTGTCGATAGGAAGAAACATGAAAATTGGTGCAAGATCCCCCATAGCAGAAGAACCCTAAACTAGAACATGATTCATGCTCAACCAAAGCACAAAACACAAAAGAAACCTTCACAGCAACTGCACTTCACCCCAGGACTGAAGAGGGCGCTCTTAACCTGGCTAAGTTCATTAGCTACCACTGCAGCCCATGACTAGATAGAAAGGACCAGTCTCTGTTCAAAAACGAGGCTTTATAACCAAAACCTTGCCCCCTAGACAAACTCTTTGTTTAAAAATCCACAAATGAAGAAAAATTACACAATAATTAAACATTTGACGATATGAAGAATATATCTCCAGTCAGAAAATCAAAACTAAGAGGAAATGAAACAGAAGTAACTGAACTCAGGAAATCAGTGAAAGAAAGGAACAAGAGGGTGTTGGGAATAAAAGCTAAATTTCTTGATATCTATGAAAGAATAGATTTGAATAAAATTTAATAAAAGACAGTAGAGAAAATTTAAAAAGTAAAATGAGATTTTTTTTTTTCTTTTCAAGACAGGGTCTGAGTATGTGACCTGGCTGGCCTAGAACTCACTATGTAGACCAGGATAGCCTCAAACTCACAGAGATCTGCCTGCCTCTGCCTCCAAGAGCTGTAATTAAAGGCCTGGCTCAAAATGAGGGTCTTTCTTTCTTTCTTCTTTCCTTCCTTCCTTCCTTTCTCCCTTCCTTCCTTCTTTCCTTTCTTTTTAAAGCACAAAAGATCAAAACTGATGTGGGCGAAATGAAATACAGGCAAAAAGTCCAACATATGTATAACTAGGGTCTCTGAAGTAGAGAGAAAAACATTGAGACAGAATTAATATTTAAAAGTATAATTCAAGATAATCTTACAAAACCCAAAACATACTTGGATATAAACACTGAAATGATACTCCAGGTACCCAAGAAAGCTGAGTCAAAATGTCCTCAAAACCTCCCCAAAAACCATGATTACATTTTAAGGATAAAGGAAAAATCTACAGGCTCTTTACTCAAAGAAATAAAAAGAGGGCTAAATGAACCACTTCTCGATGGAAATGAAAAGATCAGATATTTCTAAGCTTTGTTCCTTGGAAACAATGGCAGCTCCTATGTCCTATGTCTAAATTTTTATCACGCTTATTCTAGAAATAGTTAAACACCTATAAACATGTACCTCCCCGCTGAAGAGAGTGAGAGGACAAGCGTGCTCTTAAACATACATGATGTGGCCCTAAGGAACCTGAAAGTGATGTGGATTACTTTCTTAATGCAATTCCTGGGGTGACCATGGATATTCGTGTTCAAGCCCTGGCGCTCAGCATCACAAAGGTTAGTTCCGTTGCTTAAGTGTGCTAAGGGTGACCACTTACTTCCCTGCCACACTCAGTTCACAAAGGAAAAGACAATTCCTCACTCAGTCAACCTCAAGGAACAATAAATAAACGACCAGGCTGACAGGAAGCTACCATTCCTTGGGTCACACTTCCTATTGCACAGAGTTCCTGTGTTAGAGGTCACTGAGCAAACAAGATGCAGACTGCTGATCTCTGCAGCCTGTGGTATTTCATGTAGCCCTAGCCTCTAAGAAGTGGGTAATAGGTTATCTGACCACCACCATTCCTCTGCCATTCAGCCCAAGACGGGTTGGATAAGCCCATTACATCTAAACCTCCTCTAATATAACTTCATGATAGAATCTGTGTTGAGGGTCATCCTGGGAATTGCCCAGAACAGTGAAGATGATACTTTGTCTACTAATTTTGTGCAATCCCATGTGGAAAGGAAGATTGCGACTCGGTTTCTCACTACAAAATGAGACTACACTGACTGGACAAAGATGAAAGCTGCCCCAGCTACATGGCAGCCATGTCTCTGAATCAGGAATGCAGAAACAGAGGAAGTGGGTATTTGATCATCAGGAAAAGTGCACGGTCAGGCCAATTCTAGTACAGTAGCTTCTTGGACATGAACATATAGAATTGTTTTAGTTATTCCTCCCTCCCTCCTTCTCTCCCTCCCTTCCTTCTTGTATCTCTGCCTGCATGGACCTTGCAATTGCCCAGAAGTAGCTAAGTTGCATGTGGCTAAAACAACACTACCTAAGATGTGGACTGGCAGAATCAGCAGGGCAGAGCTGACTAGAAATTGGATTCTGGGCGCACTCCTGTACCTACTGACTTGGAACGCCTGGGACAGAGCCTGTGAACTTGCTTTAATAGCTCTCCTGGTAATCCCAAGCTTGCCAACTCGTGAGAGGACAGTGAGAATTGCACTGTACAAAGGCCAAACTACCCACTAAGAACAAAAGGGAAACAGAAACAGAGGTCCCGGAAGACAGGGACACGCCCTTCATTCTGTGGCTTCCTTCAGAGGGGCAGCTTCTTTCCCTGGATGCCCCAAAGTAGGACTATTAAGCCCAAAGAATTAAAAAAATGGTAGAAGGGGCCTAGCAATATGGCTCAGGAGGACACTTGCCTAGTTTGTGCAAAGTACTGGGTGGCTAGGTTCTCTAAGGAAATAAAGAAAGGAGAGGGAGGCAGAGGATGGGAGAGACCATGTGTCCCTCAGCACTAGCCGGGAGCGGTGTAGTTAACACAGCTGGCCTCTGTGTGGCTTCCAGGAAAATCCACAAAGGAAGAGTTTCCAAGGAGCCTGAGTGTCATTAGACCGCTCTGAGTCCTACTCTGAGTCAGGTTGTTGGAAGTAAAATAATAATAATAATAATAATAAAAATCCAAGGAACTAATGAACACAAGGTGTGTTTTTAACATATCATGCAAAAAATGGTCAAATCACTGATCTGACCCATGACAGTGTTTTTTAAAATCCTTGACAAATTTCTGTCATCTTCTCCTATAGCTCAGAAATTGTACCCCTTCCAAACTGCCCATCTCATAGACCTGGGACACAAAGCCTTACCCAACGAACAGTCTGGAGCATAAGGCTGCCCTTCTCCCCTTTTTAGATCCTGAGTTCAGTCACATGGAACTTGTCTAACCCTCAGAGGCCTGAGACAAACATACCCCTGCCTCCAGCTAGGGGAGAGAAGGAATGAATGCCTCCTGGAGCTCCAACACACTCCAGCTCATCCCATATTGAAAATGGACCATAACTTTGTTTAAATGTGCCCATGCCCCTGCATGGCCCAACCGTGAGCCCTCTTGATTCTGCCAGGGCCGACACAATGGGCATGATATTCTGTCTCATGGAATGTTTTTCGTTGTCTCTATCAGCATCCTCAGAGCCAGGGCCATTGTGAATTTGAAATGAGAGACAGAGGCTTCCAGAATTCTCACTCTAAGGTTGCCTGGAATAGCCCACATGAAGCAGCATCTCCTTGCCTGGACCCTCTAGAAACCAAAACACGACACAAAGGGACTGAATGGCAAGATTTGAGCATCCTGAACACAAAGCAAAGTTGGTAGTTTGTTAAAACTAGAACAGGCTCTTGACCCTGTCCTTTATGCTCCCCACATTGTACAGTTCAACCCTCATATCTAATTTGTTGTCCTGAGGTACAAAGAAAGGCGTCCGTGCCTACCTGTTAGTGCAGTTGTTATGGTTATTTGGGACGAGCGAGGCTCAGTGGTTCGCATAAGGGTGATGTTTATTGTATAATCAGTGGCTGGGTACAGATCTAAACACACTTCCGGAGCTCGGTCTCTTGTTGTGAAGTTAAAGAAAGTTGCATGATAGAAGTTCTCCAAATACCACCTCTGACCCAGAACTTTCACCTGTCACAAGATGGAAAGTAAGCGTTGCATTAGTTTCCTGTTGGCTTGCAGATTTCTTGACTATAAGCCAAGTGGAGGTACGACAAGAAACTTCCTTCTGTTGACCTTCTTAGAATTATCGTTAAGACACCAATGAGCTAAACTGAGGACAAGCTTTACAAAGCTATGGTACCTATCCTACCCAGTTTCCCTCTCAGCCATGTGTAGGACTAAGATTAAATTGCATAACCAGTGACTGCCAGGAATAAACATATCTCAGATGGATAAGATGGCAGGCTATTCTAAAGTAATCCCTTGGTGGCCACTCAAGTGAGAGAGACTGTACTGAAGCTACTGGGAAAAATTCTCTCCATATTTCTCATCATGAGGAATCCACAGACAAGCCCCACCGTGTAGGTACTTAACCATAATGAGAACTACCCCAGGCTAAGCTTTTAAAGCAACAGTGCAATGCTATTTCCCTTACTCCTTCCTTCCTGTCAGAACTTAGTAAAAGCTGATGACATCACACCAACACACACTGCTGTCTGAATTATGCAATAGTGAGTCACAAGGGAAACACTTTTGTGATGATCCCAGAGTAATTAATAGGATCAAACATTAGCAACTTTTTCTGGTGGACACTGTGAATTTAATGGTTCAGTTGAAACTCATGCCATCTGCTGTGCCATCCCCCCACCCCACATCCCTCTTCATTACATTCAGTCACTGAGCCTTCCTCACGGGTCATCTAAGATCTTGATAACTAGCTTATAAGATTCATCTCTCAGCCAAGTCCTCCAATTCTCTTGAATCCTTCTCTAGGTATCCTTAGGGATAAACAATCAAAACTTGGCCTCAGAGTTCCTAAGCTCAATGCTGTGAATGTCTTCCACTCCATTCCAGTCATCCACAGTCATGCTCCAGGGTCTAGACAGCATCACTGGCAGAGACGATCACAAGATTTTATGATGCCCTATTCTTCTGGACTGCTCTCTAATACAGGTAACACATCCATATATGGTATGAACAACGTGTGCATTCTCTTAAGCAGACAGTGTTTGAATGTCCACTTTCCCCCCAGCACGTGGTTTGACACATTAAAAGTTCAGTTTCTTTTTCAAATTTCATTCTTCAATCATTTTAGTGTAGTGTGGCTCTCCCCTGCCCGTGGATGCCCAAGGCTGCATGTCTTCCTTTATTGCTCTGTATCTTACTTTTTGAGACAAGCTCTCACTGAACCTTGAGCCCACAGATTCAACTAGCCTGGCTGGTCAACAGCCAAAGGGGTGCTCTGCACACACCTGTACTGAGCTCTTTAGGTAGCAATTGGGTCCAAACCCAGTTCCTGAGCCATCTCCCCAGCTAGCCCAAAGATGACTTGTTTTCTTAACCAAGTCTCTGGCTAGCTATAATAAAACTCTTTCGGTACTAATTTGAAAAACCATTTTAATAGAATACGTATTTGGGTCCTTGAACCTGTCTCTAGCCCCAGGGCTCTTTCCAACATGGAAACTTAAATACTCACTTCATGCTTACAGTCCTCCAGTGGCTCCTCACAGGCATTCATATTCAAAGCATGCAAGGCTCCAGCCAGTCACTACTTGAATCTTCACCTTCCCTCTTCCTGCCTCTTTGCTTTTCATGTTAGCCACTGTGCCATCTGTGCACCCACAATGCCCTTCCTCACCCTTGCTCCAGCTAATGCAGTTTTTACTTCTTAAAAAACCATGTACAGCCGGGTGGTGGTGGCTCACGCCTTTAATCCCAGCACTCGGGAGGCAGAGGCAGAGGATCTCTGTGAGTTTGAGACCAGCCTGGTCTCCAAAGTCACAAAGAAACCCTGTCTCGAAAAAACAAAAACAAACAAACAAACAAACAAAAACATGTAGAACTCCAGTTCCAGGGGATCTAACATTCCACTTCTGGCCTCCATGGGCATAAGGCACATACATGGTGCACATACATGCAGACAAAACATACACATTAAAATAAAACGTAAATATTTTTTAAAAATTATACCTGAGAATATGCACCATGCACATGCTAACACCACACACACACACACACACACACACACACACAGAGTTCCATCCCATTATTTATTGCATTTTTATCAAAGACTCATTGTACCACACTACAGCTGCCTGTTTATTTGTACATTACAATTTGTTTGAGTTGAAACTTTGAGGTCATAATATATGATATCCTCTTGCTAAATATTTATGGAATGAATAATTAACTTTATTGCACACTGCCAGAGTTGCCAGGCACTAAACATGACAACAAAGTAAATCCGATTACTTCCTAAATTTGCTTACGATGTGAGTTTGGGTGTGGAAGAAAACTGAAGTTAAATGAGAGCCAGCAGCCACACAATGAGCTTTTTTAAAATGTATGCCCAATGAGTAGATTTGAAGGCAAAGTAAGATACAAATGTTAAATGCGTTAAGTGTGAAATCCTAGGCAGGAAAAATGATAGAAAGTCACCAAGTATACAGCACCTCCTTTCAACTTAGTTCCTCCTCATGGCCATCAAACACGCATTCATCTAGAAATGGCATCGCAAGCAGTGCAGACAGTCCTTGAATCAGGGGTCTCCATCCATTGGAGTTGCCCGAGTGTTTTGTAAGCAGAGTTGTGGTTTTACTAAAGATACTGTAATATAGACTAGATGCTAGGACACACCTAAAAGCATGGGCTCTGCAAAGGAGAGTCACAGTTCCAGGTAAAGAAGTGTCTAAGAAAGATTTTAAGCTCAGGAGCTAAGAGCAAGAGAGATGCTCAGGGAAAGAATAATGCATACCCAGTGTGGGAATTAATCACTCTATTCTTTGAACGACAAATTCTTTAACAGAAAAGAATAAGGGTCCACCTTACTTGGTACATTTGTTCTGATCCATCTTTCCTAGAATGCCTGTTCAACTTCAGACAAGTTTCATTAAATACTGAAATGTTGAGGATTCCACCATCTTCTAAGAGATCATCTTCTAGAAGACAAGAGAACATATAAAAAGGTCGAATCACCAAGGAGACGAATCATGGCTGAATATAAGTGCAGCTGGGACATTTTTAAGGGCCAGTAGGGTGTTTAACATGAAGAGCATGGCATTTACATTTAGTATTACAGACTTAGACACAAGCACTAGTTCTGCAGTTTGCTGTGTGTGTGTGTGTGTGTGTGTGTGTGTGTGTGTGTGTGTTCTCAATTGCTCTCTACCTTATTCTTTGAGGCAGAGTCTCTCACTGAATCTGGAGCCCCCTGATTCTGTAGAAGCGCCCAGGGTCCTCCTCTCTCTGCCTTCCCAGTGCTAGGATTACAGGTGTCTTCCACTTCTCCTGGGTGCTTTACATGGGCTCTAGGGATCAAAGTCAGGTCTACATGCTTACACAGCAGGCACTTTAACAACCGAGCCATTTTCCCAGCCCTTGCCTCTTTTCTGGTTCTTCATTTGTTTGGAGTTTGTTTTTGTTTTTAATATTTATTTTCAGGCTGAAGAGATGATGGCTCAGTGGTGAGGAGCACTGACTGCTCTTCAAGAGGACCAGGGTTCAATTCCTCACATCCACATGGCAGCTCACAACTGTCCATAGCTCCAATTCCAGGAAATCTGACACCCTCATACAGAGACATACAAGCAAGCAAAACACTAATGCACATAATATAAAAAATAAGTAAATGTAGAGAAGACATGATCAAAATGTGTGTAATTATGAAATAATACATTTTTTAAAAGATTTTTTTTTTCATTTTATTAGTGTTTTGCCTACACGTATGCCTGTGTACCACATGCCTGCCAATGCCCTTGGAGGCCAGAAGAGGGCATCAGATCTTCTGGAACTACAGTCACAGATGGTTGTGAACTGCCATGTAGATGCTGGGAACCAAACCCAGGTCTTCAGCAAGAGCAACAAATGCTATTATCCACTGAGCCATCTCTCCAGCCCCCTCACTTTGCTTTTTGAGACAGGGTCTCGCTTTGTAACCCTGGCCTCTTTGGATTTGCTATGTAGCCCAGTCTGGCCTCTTACTCCTAATCCCCCTTCATCACCCTCCCCCAACTGGGATGACGGGCACATACCTCTTCACCCAGAAATGCATCTACTCCTGAGTTGTATGAACTCAGTGAAGTTCAGAAGTGTTTCTTATGAACCTTAATTTTCTCATTTGTGGAATCAACTTATCCAGCTTGTTTTCCTACATTGTGGGCAGTTGGGAACACTGAGTGAAACATTGCTGTAAACTAAGAAAGCTGTGACCTTTGTAGCAGTAGGTGTACACAGATGGGCAGTGCTAAAATGCCCTGAAGCATATCGTCGGACACAGGTTTTGAGAATGAGGGAAACAGTGAGTAAAACTGTGGTTAGGAGCCTCAGGGCTGGTGCTTTCCAACAGAAAATGACCAGAAAGTAGACGACATGGCAGAAGACACGCTCTCACAACAGACAGAACTCCTCCAGCTCGTTAGTTGTGCTCAGCTAGGGCATTTAACAATCAGGAGGCAGGCTTGTTCTAACCATTATCTAGAAAAAGTCATCCCTACCACCTGCGGGTGGGTGGAACATTTCTGCAATCCTTTATTCTTTTAATGCAGTCAAAAAGAAGAGACCCCATAGGATGAATTAAAGAAGTCGCTCCAAGTCCAGGAATCATCTCTAAGGAAAAGCAAATTTCCTAACAAATAAGCCTTTACATTCTCTACCAATGAAAAAGGGGTAGCTTGCTTACTTGTTTTCTTTCTACGGTGCTGGAGATCAAATTCACAAGCTCATGTGTGCAACCATGGTCTCTCCCCTGAGCTGCTTCCACAGCCCCAAACAAAAGTTTGAACATCTATCAGGGAGAGTCTCTTTTACAACCACTTTTAATATGTAAGTCTCCCCTGGGAGTCTGAGTCACCTAAGAAGTATTCATGATAAGGTCAAATTATTCCAGTCAAAATTAGGATTGCCCAAAGCATTTTCAATATTGCTAATACACATAGCACAAGGCAATTAGCTGAGAGACAATATTCCTGACTATAGCTGGGAAATGTGAAAATACAGTTCTAAGAATTTGAAGACCTATCATAGCTCCTTTATCTTCACAGTGTTTTCACAAGGATAGGCGGGGGCAGCCACGGGATTTTGGGAAGCATCACATGTATATGTGTATGAAATATATGGAAGAAACAGTACATAATGTCTGACTGTACACAAACAAAAGCCAAACAGAAGTGCTGTCTGCAAGTCCCCATATAGCACAGCCATTACAGTCTGAATTCAGAAGAAGACCGTGCTGGGAACAAAGGCATCTGGCTTCTACTTCCCACGCCCACTCCTGACAGAAGTGACTGAGAATAACTAAAAATGGGTCAAAATTTGCATCTGGGTCGCAAGGAAAGGTTGGTTGCCATATGCAAGGCAGACACATGAAGACATCTACACTTAGCCCAGCATAAAAGAGACCATGCTATGGGAGGCTCAGAGCTATTCAACCTGCCTTCCAAGCAAATGTACATCATCTCTGAATTTCAAAGGAAGGACTAGAGAACTTGAGCCTGTGGAAGAATCTAGGCAGACCACAGGACAAGCCAGTGATGAGTGCTCTTGTGGAGCCATTAGCCCCCAAATCTAATTGCACATCAGAACACACAGACAACTCTAGATGGTGTTAGACCCAAAGGGTGTCTTAAATCTCACCAGGCAATTCTCCCAGCCAAGGACTAGTCCAGTCCTGCTTAACTTCTGTGACAGATGAGATCTGGCACATTCTGGGTGGTCTAGCTGAAGACTCACCTGGTAATTCAGAGAGGCAGCCAGGGCAAAAAACGTGTATTCATTACCATTGCTAAGACCAATGGTCATTCCTTAGCACACTGGAGAGCCAGAGACAAGGAAGAACATCTAAGTGGAGACCCCAGGACCAGGGCCCCATGTGACAAAAACCCTGGGTTGACAGGACAGCCTGACTCTTTGCTGCTTCAGTAGGCTGTCACTGCATCCTAAAGCCAGGCAGTAACCAGCACTCAGCAAGTCAGGGAAACTGGAGAGGAGGCGTGGGGTCGGCAAACTACTGGACAGATCACAGACACACAGGGAGGCAAAGCTTAATCCTTCATTTCATTTTTCTCTTGCTGCTGCTTCTACTGCTCTTTCTCTGTTCCATTCTTCCACCCGGTTGTTGTTCTTCTCTCCTATTGTTCCCCTTCTACTTCCCTTAGCTTTCCCTTATCCCTTTTATGTCTCCTAACACAAAGAGTTCTACGCAAAAACAAAATCACAGCCACAAGTGACGTATTTTCCGAAACCAAATTAGAATTTTTACACAGGAAGAAATCACAGTATGATCAAAAGGTAGATGTTTTTCTTAGAAGCCCACCCATAGTTAAACATTTTCTTTTGTATTAATTCTCCCACCATGACATCTTCCCAAAGCAATGATTCTTTTACTCCTGATTAAGAAAGTTTTAAACAATCCAGTAGATTCCAGGCAGTTCCTTTTGTACTGGCAGGCTGCTCTTTGTGGTTTCAGGGTAGCAGATTCCTATAAAACTTTACTCAAGTGGTCTAGCTAACCATTTGTTTTTCTTTACACTTTTCTTTACACACAATAGGGTCATTTAATTACCCTTCACAACTTCATTTTTTTAAGGTGCATACTGAAACCTGTGAGTAATTCTGTAAGCTACATGACCAAGGAACTCAGGCCTCACTTGGGTGTAAGGACATAATTGCTTCCTTTGATCATCAGCCTGTTTTTCCACAGGCAGAATTCATGGGTCTATAATGTATGAAACTTTCTTGTTCTTATTTTCCATCTTCGGCAAATCTCACAACTAACAAAGAGGGTGGTAACTTCTAGCCTATTTTTGTCTTCATTATGATCTGCAAGTAAATTGCCCAGTTGGGGATTGGAAATTCCCATGAAACGATCACACTATACTAGATACAGTGGGATCATTTCACATAGTAATCACACCATGCCAACTACAACAGGAACACGACAGAGCAAGCAGGAGGAAGTACAGCAGGAGCAAGGGGCATTCTGGAGACAATCCCACTCCCACCCTCACCCCCCACCCCTCACCCTCCACCCCTACCCCTGTTGGGGTTGCCTCTCCAGGGTTTTAGTCAGCATAGCTTTGCTATTTGGTGAATTGAGCTCCATAAGCTCCATTGATGATGGCTGCTCCTCTGACATGGCCACTGACACAGTGCAGAGCTGGCCCAAGACTAACTGCTTCACAAGTGAACAGAACAAGGGGCTCATAAATTAGACTGGGAGGTGATCATCCCCACAGCTGTTCCTCAAAGGAGGCCAGCTCACTCGACCTTCATAGGGAGGTCTGAGATAAGCATACTAACATTTTCCAGTGAAAGTAAGGTCAAGGGGAATGACATCCATCCCATGAGGAAGCATTGTCTAAGACAGAGCTTTATCATCCCAGGATAAGTAATCTAGAAGCCTGGGAGATGACGGTTCTATTGCACTAAGGAGAAGAAGGCATGTGTACGAGGTCCAGGGTTTTGTTGCTGTTGTTTTGTTGTTGATAGTAAGATCAAGCAGCGCCCACCATTCTGTGCTTTCAATAATAATCTCTTAAAAACATCCAAAATGATTCTAATGAAAGAAGAATGTACTTGAAAGGAAATATTGAGAGATTTAGGAATAAAAAAGAGAACTAGCTGAGATTCCCCACATACTCCTCAAAGAGGAAATGGAAATATACAACAACTTACAGTGCATTATAAACACACAGGCACACACAGACAAACACACATACACACACAGAAGGCAGAGGGAAAAGGACATGAACATTAAAAGGAGAAAGCAGGAGGTTCTGTCTGCATAGATGTGTTGTGGGAAATAAAATGGTTTTGGGAACAAGCAACAATCTGAGAGGGAGATTTGGTGAAGGAAATTGTTCCTAATATGTGGACAGATTAAAGTCCCGTCCCCCCCCCCAGCACTGGGAAGACTGAGCCAGTGCCAGCGCTCACATTCCAC